GGTCTGGGCTGGAGCAGCTGTTCTACCCCCCAATTCATCCCAGCTGCCATCAGGATTCCCATGGAAGGCCAGTTGTAGCTGAATTCTGGAGTCTGACAGGGGCAAGTCTCTGCTTTCTGCTTCGCTTCTACCTCCTATCCTGACAGACGCCAGGTCATGACAAAGCAGTGTGTGCTCAAGAGAGCCAAGTGTAAGTAGGTGATGGAAGAGCAAATACGATGGGGCAGAGGAAGATTCTGGGGGAGAGGAAGGGCCAGCGAGAGGGAGAGGGGCTGCCCATCTAGACTTTCACTGTGGACCATGAGGCAGTGCTAAGTGGCTGCGGGGGACTCAGCCAACAACAGGGCCCTAAGACCCTTGCCTAAAGGGCGCTATGCATGAATCGAAGACATAAGCACATGAAAAAAGTGGGTAACAAAGCAAGAGTTTAAGACAAGCAGGTGCAAGAGATGCCTAGGTCATATGCCAGGTAAGAGTGTGGGTGACAGAGGGGAGGGTTCAAGGGTCAGAGCGGCCCAGGGGGAGAGGCGGAGGCAGCAGGAGGTGGGGATGACGAGGTTGGCTCTAAACCTCTGGAGGCTGACGAGCCAGAATTCAAATTTCAGTGCTGCCAGCCACTAGCTGTGTGACTTTGGGCAAGGCACTTGGCCTCTCTGAGCTTTTTTCCCACTCACCTATATGAAGAGACTTCTACCAGCACCTACCTCCTGGGATGTCACAATGAATAAATGAGATCATGCACATAAAATGCTGAGCACGGAAAGGATTTGAATTGGACATTGACGGGGGCAAAGATGAAGAGGGGAAGGAACATAGGACACCAGAGGTGCTCCTAACTTGGGAGTCTCTAAGACCAGATCACTAGATTTCTTGAACTCTGTACATATGGATAGCATTTCAGCAGTTTATATACACTTATTTAAGGGGTGCCTGGGGGGCTCAGTCGTTAAGCGTCTGCCTTTGGCTCAGGCCATGATCCCAGGGTCCTGGGACCGAGCCCCGCATCGGGCTCCCTGCTCAGCAGGAAACCTGCTTCTCCCTCTCCCACTCCCCCTGCTTGTGTTCCCTCTTTCACTATATCTCTCTCTGTCAAATAAATAAATAAAATATCCTTATATACACTTATTTAACTACAACAACTCTATAGGTTAAGGACTAGCCCATTTAATAGATGAGAAAACTGAGGCTGGACCAGTTAACTGACTTGGGGCGCCTGGGTGGCTCAGTCAGTCAAGAGGCTGCCTTCGGCTCAGGTCATGATTCCCACGGTCCTGGGATCAAGTCCCATTATGGGCTCCCTGCTCAGTGGGGAGTCTGCTTCTCCCTCTCCCTCTCCTGCTCCCCCTGCTCATGCTCTCTCTCTCTCAAATAAATAAATAAAATCTTAGAAAAAAAAAAGAACAGTTAACTGACTTGCCCTAAGTCACAGTTAATAAATGGGTTGGATGGAAGATCTGAACTCAATCTATGTGACTCCAAGTCCAGTGCTCCTTACACTGTAGCAGGGCCTCGGGCTGCCTCTCTCCCTGCTTACACTGAGGCCAGGGTGGGGTCACCCTCACAGCACCTGGCCCACCTCCTCCTGAGCCCAACTTCTACCTGAGCACATAATTCTCAAGGCACCTGGACCTCTCTTGCTTAGGGGATTCCAGCCCAGGAGTCCCCGTGCCTTGCCTGCCCTCCTCAACCTTAGAAAATCCATCACTATCCATGAGGGGGCTGGTTTGACCCTGAGCCCAACTACAGAGCCCAACTCCTCCTCGGGGGTGGGGGGGTGGGAGGGTGGGGGTGGGGGTGGTTACAGCTCAGCCAGGGACAAGCCGGCCTAAATTCCTTCCCCAAACACAATGATTCTTATCAGTGATGTTTGGCTTTCAATCTACCACCCCAAAGCAGTAAAATTTCTTTTACCCATTCTTCCCTCCAATGCTGTTTTTCTCAGGACCCAATCAATTTCTAAAAATGTATTTAAGTGAAAACAATACCATCCAAATACAAAAAACACTTAGGAATAAGTTTTTAAATATGTGCACGACCTGCATGCTGAAAATTACAAAACATTGCTGAAGGAAATTTTTAAAAGCCCTAAATAAAGAGATATGCCTGTTTATAAATCGGTAGATTCAATATTGTTGGAATGTCGATCTTCTATAAATTGACTTATAGATTCAATGCAATCCCAAACAAAATCCCGGCAGGCTTTCCTATAGATATTGATAAGTTGATTCTAAAGTTTATGTGGAGGGGCGCCTGGCTGGCTCAGTCGTTAAGCGTCTGCCTTCGGCTCAGGTCATGATCCCAGGGTCCTGAGATAGAGCCCGGATCAGGCTCCCTGCTCAGTGGGAAGTCTGCTTCTCCCTCTCCCACTCCCCCTGCTTGTGTTCCCTCTCTCGCTAGATCTCTCTCTGTCAAATAATAAATAAAATATTTACAAAAATAAAATAAAATAAAATTTATGTGGAAATATAAGGGACCTAGAATAGCCAAAACAACTTTTTAAAAAGATTTATTTATTTATTTTAGAGAGAGAGAGAGGGAGAGGCAGAGAGAGAGGGGGAGAGAGTCCTCAAGCAGACTCCTTGCTGAGCATGGAGCCCAATGCAGGGCTCTATCCCAGGACCCTGAGATCATGACCTGAGCTGAAATCAAGAGTCACACACTTAACCGACTGAGCCACCCAGGTGCCCCAAAACAATTTTGAAAAAAAGAGAGAGAGAGAGGGAGAGAGGGAACTTACTGTACTTGGTTTCAAGACTTACCATACAGCTACTATAATCAATCCTATATGGTATTGGCATAAGGATAAACATATAGGCGAATGGAACAGAATAAACTGTCCAGAAATAGAATCTCATATGTTGAATCAATTAATTTGCAACAAAAATGACAACAGAGTAAGGACCATCTTTTCAGCAAATGGGGCTGGAACAAGTGGATGTCCACATGGAAAACAATAAACTTTGACCTTGACCTTACACAATTCACATAAATTAACTCAAAATGAACAAATAGACCTAAGTATAAAAGCTAAAACTATAAAGTTTCTGGAAGAAAACATAAGAGGAAATCTTTACAACCTCTGAGTAGACAGAGATTTCTTGGGTAGGACACAAAAAAAGCACAAACCATACAAGAAGTTGTAAATTGTACTTCATCAAAATTAAAAACTTCTGTTCTTCATAGGATTCCAATAAGAAAATTAAAAGGCAAGCCAAAGATAGGGACGAAATTTGCCAATACTTTCTTACAAAGGACCTGGATTCAAAATACACAAAAAACACAACTCAGTAAGAAGAAGAATAGCCCAATGAAAAAAGATACTCAGATGACTAACATGCACATGCAAAAATGTTCAACACGTGGGGTGCCTTGGTGGTAAAGTCAGTTAAGTGTCCAACTCCTGGTTTTGGCTCAGGTCCTGATCTCAGGGTCATGTGAGATGGATGGAGCCCCTCATCAGGCTCCGCGCTCAGCACCCAGTCTGCTTAAGATTCTCTCTCCCTTTGCCCCGCCCCCTGATCACGCTCTCTCTCTCAAATAAATAAATAAATATTTTTTAAAAAGGTTCAACACACCATTCATCAGTGTGAAAATGCAAATTAAGACCACAATGAGATATCAATACATATCCACTAAAAGGGCTGAAATTATGACCGCCAGTAGCTGACAAGAGTACGGAGTAATTAGAACTCTCATACATCACGGCGTAAAATGGTACAATCACTTTGGAATACCATTTGGCCATTTCGTATGAGGTTAAACATAGGCATACCATATGATCCAATAGTCAGGTCCTAGGTATTTATCCAAGAGAAATAAAAACATATACCCATATATGTACGTGTACACAAATGCTTATAGCAGCTTTATTTGGAACAGCCCCAAACTGGAAACAATCCAAATGTCTATCAGCTGGTAAATAAAGAAACACAGAGTGGTACGTCCATACAGTAGAATACCATTCAGCAGTAAAAAGGAATGCGCTGATATATGTAACAAAGTGGATGAATCTCAAAAACATTATTTTGAGCAAAACCATTCAGACACAAAAGGCTATATGCCAGATGATTCCATTTATGTGAACTTCTACAAAGGGCCAAACTAATCTATAAGGACAGAAAGCAGAGAAGTGAAGATCTGGGGCTGGTGGGGGAGGACTGGTTGCAAAGGAGCATAGGGATCCTTTGGGCTGATGGAAATGTTCCCCCATGCAGTAGTTGTGGCGGTGTTTATACGAGGGTATGCATTTGTTAAAACCCCAACTGTGCACTTAGAACGCATGCATTTTACTGTAGGTAATGTTGATTAGGGAAAACAATTAAGGTGGTGGTTTGCTTTCTTCACATAAGCCAAGAAGACGGTTAGAGCCCCAGCAACCACCAAAAGGGAGCCTGGACAGGCACCCAATCAGGCCCCTTTCATCCACCATCTCAGTGAAGCCTCGCATCAGCCTCTAAGATAGGTATTATCATCACCTAAAGCTCAGCAAGGTTAAGACATTTGCCCAAAGCCACACAGCGAGCAAGACAAACGGCCAGGATTTAAACTCAGGTCTGGCTGACTCCAAAGCCTGTGCTTTCATAAACTTGTCTGTACCCTCTGTAGAGAGGAAAGGAACCTAACTAGCAGAGGTCACACATTATAAAAGCACCGCCTAAGTCAATCAGTATTTACAAAGTTGTATCCACAGGAATGACTTTGAGTTATGAAGCTATTGGGATGACTTAAAGACTGGATTGGGTGATGAGACCTGTCATGGGCTCCACTTGTCACATAATACAGTGCATGTTCATTTATAAAACACCGCACCAGTTAATATTTGCAGAATTCCCAAGCCATCCAAGCCAGAACATGAGCTCTTGAGCAATCCTAGACTTCCAGGCCAGGATCAGCCCATTAGAATTAGGGAAACTTAGGATCTCCAGGTGCTATAGACCTTGGAGGCAAGTAACCTGACCAAGTGGCCAAGCAGGGGAGGGGGCCACCCTCTACCCCCTTACCCTCCAGCTCCTTGTAGCTGTTGCTCCCCTGGATGATCACACAGTATTCGCTCTGCAGACTGTTCCCTGGAGGGCAAAGAGCCCAGACTGGGGGCAGAACCTGGTTTCTGTCCTGCCTCTCCCATTGATTTGCTGTGTGACATAGGGTGAATCACTGAACTTTTCTGACCCCCGGGCTCCCTTGGGGAACTATTTACACCATCCTATAGACCTCAAGAATGGCTCTGAGGATCAGATGAGAGAGAGAGGCTGAATGAGAAAAGTGATTTGTAAATCACTGCAATACTAAATTAGGTCATTTTCAGCATCACCAGAATTCAGCTCTGGGTTCGTACAAAAGCCCCAGAAACAGTTGCCAGCTTACTGTGGTTTGGGGATGATGGTTGCTTCATTTGAAAAATGGGAATAATCGTACATGACCTGCTTGAAACAGGGGGTTGGACCAGAGATGCTTCGGGGGCACGTCCAACTCTTAAGTCTCTGATTCTGTGATTTCAAAGACCCCAAGAAGATTGGCTTCACCTGCTCTCCTGATGTTTGAATTTGCTTTTACCAAATGCCCAAACATTTCATCTTATAATCGAAAATGAGACTTTAAGTGCAAATGACCTGGAGAAAGGAGGAACACATTGTCTTCCATTCTCACTATAGTGTGGATGACTGATATCAGATTCCTACCAGAGAGCAAATTCTGATGGGAAGCTGGAGAATCTGGCCTGACTGAGTCATGATAGGGCTTCCTCAGTGAGAACTCAGGCTGAATCCTGTCCATTCTCTGAGACTAAACACATAACAGCCCAAGGCCCCAGTTTTAGCTTATTCTCCAAGTATTTGTCCAGCTCCCCAGACTGGGGGGAGTGGTGGCTGGAGTCTATTTTGTCAGCCTTGCTTAGTTGGGTTCATGACCTGAAAGAGGTGACTCTAGGGACACCTGAGTGGCTCAGATGGTTAAGCATCTGCCTTCAGCTCAGGTCATGATCCCGGGGGTCCTGGGATCGAGCCCCGAATCGGGCTCCCTGCTCAGCAGGAAACCTGTTTCTCCCTCCCCACTCCCCCTGCTTGTGTTCCCTCTCTTGCTGTGTCTCTCTCTGTCAAATAAGTAAATAAAATCTTTAAAAATAAAAAGAAGAGGTGGCTCTAATACTCATACTCATATGATCCCTCTCAGCCCTAACCCAGGCCTAATCAACCATCCCCCACCTCTGATTTCCTCTGCTCACAAGTCTCAAATTCTACCCTGTGCACTGCCACAAATTCCTTTCCCTTCCAACCATATCAACCAGGGTGGTCCAGGCCCCCTGGAGCCCCTCTCTCCTCACCTACCTGGCCCTCGCCCCATCCCCAACTCCAAAACCCCCAAAAAGAATTGTGGAAATGAGCTGATGTCCAAGAGGATGCAGGTGCATTTGTCCTCTTGCTCTCCATTCCAGCTCAGAAACCCCTGTCAGGGCTGGGATACCAAGCTACTATGCCTAATCTCCTCACTAGTAACAATTACTGGCATTAGTTGAGCATTTACTATGTGCTAGATACTATCCTAAGCGCTTTCCATGTACTAACTCATATAGTGTTCATATGAAATAGGCACTATTATCCTCATTTTACAGATGAGAAACTGAGACACAGAGGGGTTAAGTGACTTGGCCAAGAGCAAGGGCTAGCAAGTAGCTGGGTTGGGGATTGAACCCAAAGTCTGTGCCCTCGCCATTATACCCTGCCTGCTGGGGCGACAGCAATGCCTTCAAGCCTGAAATCACTGTCAAACAAACATGTTTGTGCACTGCTCTCTGGGTGGAAATAGAGGCTCAGTTCTATCAAGTTCAGCCCCTTCTTTGTACAAAAGGGTCACTGAGGCCCAGAGACTGGTCTTCCCAGGTCACCAGCAAGCTGAGTTCAGAGCTAGGGTCTGGGCTGACCTGCCTACCCCACCCCACCCCCTTATATTTCAGGAGAGGCCCCTGCTCATAGCCAAAGCACGTTTTTAACCAGGGTCATGACCCGGAAATTAGCCCACAGCCCTTAGCTCTGCCTGTACGGGGACTTCTCAGATCCTTACTCCCCTCCCTGGCAGGTCTTTAAGAACAGTCTCTGGCAGGTCACTGGCTTGGTGTGTTTTCTCGCCTTTGCTTTAGGCAGGCTGTAAATCTCACCCTGATTTGGAGTGAAGATCACAAAAAATGACAAGATTAAAGTAACAGCCTGTACATATTTGGAGCAAGCATTGGGTGGAGGTCACGTGAGTGCCTTTGCACCCACGACCCCACCTCCCACCCAAGTCCCTAGGTCAGAGGAAGAGGGACAGTTGCCCTGTAACTTGCGCTGCGTTCACTCCCCACTCCCTCCCGCTCCCTCCCCTGGGGTCTCCCCAACTCTGATCCTCCTTTTCCAATCATGTACCCTTCCTCCCTTCTCACTCTTGGTCGTTCTCCCCAGAATTCACCCGACGCCAGGTCTGAGATTTGGCTGGGCTTCCCTAGCGGAAGTTTCCCTCCTGCATCTCCAGCTGACACTCCCCACCGTCCGCAGGTCCGCATTCCCCTGGTATCCGCGCGATCCCCGCCCAGCCACCCAGCCCGCAGGGTCTCGGTTCCGCAGGGGGAAGGCAGAGGGTGGAGAGAGAGCCCGGGGCGAGGACTGTGGCTGGACGGAGACCAGGTTACGAGCAGACAGGGCACGGAGTGAGGATCCAGAGAGGGCATCCGAGCGCGGGAGGGACGCCTGGACCGGCAGGGACCGGGCGCGCCGTGCGGATGGGGCCAGGGTCCGAAACGTGTGCAGAGTCCGGGAGCTCGGGCCGGGGTCCTAGGCCGGGCGGAGTGGGCGGGATGAGGTCTCGGACAGGGCGGGGTGGGAAGGGCGGCGGCGAAGAGGACCCAGTGGGACAGCAGATCGGGGCCGGAGCTGGGGAAGCCAGAGACCGAGCTCGGGGCGCGAACTCCGACAGCGAGCCGGGACTGGGGTCCGCCGGGGGCTAAGGTCTGAGTTCGAGGTCCCGCCGCGGCGGGGGCCAGCGGAAGGGAAATGTTGGCCCTGCTCTAGCCCGAGGAGGGGAGGCAGGCGGGCCGGGGACGCGGGCCGGGGGCGCGGCGGGCACTGACCCGAAGTAGGCGGCGGCGGCAGCGGCGGGCAGCGCCAGCAGGCAGAGCGCGGCCAGGGCCAGCGCGGGCGGGGGGCGCATGGTGCCGGCGACGCGGCGCCCTGTCGCATCTCCTCGCGCCGCTCAGCGCTCGCAGCGCCGCCACCAGCCGCCCGTGGGGCTTTAAAGCCGGGCGGGGCGGAGCGGGGCTGGGGGAGGGAGCGGCTCTGGCGGCACCCCCCGCCCCGGGCCGTGAGCCCCCCGCCCCATTGGCCCCGCCGGCCTCGCCCCGCCCCATCGCGGGTGGGGCCGCCGCCCAGGGCCCGCCCCCTCCCCGCCCCCATCTCCGCGTCCCAGCCGCCCCAGGTGAGAGCTCACCTGACGCGGCGCCCGCCGGGGGCGCGCCGGCGGATCGGGAAGGCCCCCGGGCCTGGAGAGGCGGGGATGGGGGCCCGAGGCGGAGACCAGGGAGTCTCCGCATCTCCCGGCCGGGTGGAGGGACGCGCAAGATTCTCTCCCCCGAGGTACGGGGGGTGGGGGGCGCAGAAGGAGGGAGGCTCCTGGGGTCGGCGGAGAAGCAGTTTCGTGTCCGCTCTCCTGCGCGGGGCGGCCGGGGTGGGGGGGCGGGGGTCTCTCTGCCCAGTCCCGGGACTCTGAGGGCAGGGCCGGGTCCTAACGCAGAGCCGCTCTCCCGGAACCGGAGATCCACGTCTAATGAATGGCTGGGGGGGACCCTGCTGTCCAGGAAAAAGAATCCTGGCGGGGTATCCCTTAGAGCAGAGGAGGGGGAAAGATCGATCCCTCTTTCTAAACGGGAGACCGTCAAGGGCAAGGTGCGCAGCGCGGGGTGGGAATGGGAGGGTCAGAGACGAACCTGCTTTCCAAAGTGTGTGGATGCCAGACCTCTGTCCGGCAAGATGGGAATCTCCGGTGTTGGGCCACAAAGCTCTGTCTTGCTTATCCTTTTTTAAAGTTTAACCCCAATTCCTGCAGCGAAGGTACAGTGATCAAGGCAGTAGGTGACACCAGTCTATGAGAGAGACATACAACAGATGACCCAAGCAAGATTTTAAGTGTTTTTGAGAGTCTTGAGCACTGGGTCAAATCAAGCAAAACAAAATATAACTTGTACTGAATGTCAAGATCCGCACGCAAAGTTTCCAAAATCTCGGCCATGCTTGTAGAACATCAGTTGACAGTGACCTTGGCCAATGTGATGGGAGGGGAGCTGGGAGGCTTGTGGGGAGATGGCGGCTTCCACCTTAGGCAGGATGAGCAGAGGAAGCCCCTGCCACAGTGAGCCTCTCTGAGCTCAGTTTCCCTGCTGAGTGGAGTGATTAGATGATCAATGATCTTTAACAACTCTGCCAGCCCTGTCAGTTCTCATGGTCCTGTTTATTGAGGTGCACAGCCCAGTGTGGCGAGCTGGGGCCTAGAGTCAAGTCATGGAAATCGTGAACCCTGGGCATGAAATGGGGATGCTGACCACTGTCTCACAGGACTTTTGTGCAGAGTGATTGCAAATGCCTAGCAGGCGTTGTGCGATGCTCACACAGCAGGCAGGACCAGTGGTGTCCTGGTGTTTTACATGCTTTCAGGGTGTGGATGGGTGTCCGATTGTTATCATTTCCCAATTTCTGTGCTGTAAATACTCCCACCATGGCTGATCTCAAGATGATAATGTGGCATCATCCCCAATCTCCTGAGTTAGGAAGAGATTTGCTCGATCGGTTCTGCAAGCCAGTCAGAGCTGATGCCAGCATACCACTTTTAAGACCTTGAACCAGGCTCGGTGAGGCTCAAGGGGGGGGGGGGGGCAAGCTAAACCAGTGTGAGTCAGGGAAGAGGAAGAGCCCCCCAGCAGGCCCCACCACACCCAATGGGCACCAGAGAGCGGGCAGGTGAAGAGCAAGCAGATCCAGCAGCCCCTCCCATCCTCATGCCCACGGCACATGCCATTATGCACCAGCATGTGCCTGGAGAAGGTGGGGGATGAGGGGGCAGCATATTCTCCCAAAGTGACACATTCTCAACATTTCATATAAGTTGCATGTGGACACCTGTCGGTTAAGGCTGTGGTGCAGGGGTTGGAGGAAAAGCACCAAGATGGGATGGAGAGGTGAGTGGCTAGATAGTGAGATACATACGGCAACTATCCAGATGACTGTTCTTGAGCCCTCACCAGCCAATGGCATGGACTCCAGCCTTGGCTCCTTCCTCCTGATGTTAGAACTGTGTGGGTCTCTGGGGTGACTCCTGACTTGCCCACGAAGGCATCAGAGTTCTGCTTCTGCCGCCCCGCTCCTCCGATGCCGGGGCTTCAAAGAATTGCCCAGGTGGCAACTCCTACTGCTGATCATAATTCCAGCAGCAGCTCCCACGTACCGTGTGTGCGTGTGTGTGTGTGTTTGCACGTGCGCGCGTGTCCCAGGTGTGGCACGTGGTCTCACTGAAACCTCCCACCTGTTGCAAGGTCAGGGCAATCATGATCCCTATTGCAGATGAGGAAACTGGAGGCTCAGAGAGGTTAAGTAGCTGGTGAGGGTGACCTAGCTGTAAGTAGAGGACCCAGGAGTTGAGCCCAGGCCCAGCAGAACTGTCACACTTGTTGTGGCCCACGGTTGGCTGTGGCTGGCTGAGGACTGCCTAGGCACAGCCTGACTCACACTGGCCTTTGCATAATTCATCCTTACGGAGCATCATGTACCTCCAAAGGGGCTGCGGCCTGGAGTGGGAGATGTTGGTGAAGGCATATCATCTCCACAGTGGGGGGCTGTGGAGTCCCCGAGGAAGCACATGAGGGGCGGCCCTCAGGACTTAGAGCCTTGTGCCATCGGCAATTAGTTGCTCCCACGTCCTGTGAGCCTGACTTCTCTCCGTATGTCCAGGGGCGGGCACAGGACCCAGCACATAGTGGGTGCTCAGGAAATGTGTGTTGTTGCCAGCTTACAACCTGTCTCTGGTCTTTGTGTGGGGCTGCAGAGATAGAAAGTGTCATACTGACAAAATGCATGCTCACAGCATCCCCTCCCAAGCTCAGACACACGCTCCATCACACACACACACACACACACACGCAATCACACACCTACAACTTTGACACTCTACGACACAAGTCCAGGCATTCAGTGACACACAGACTCCCCCTGCACCTCCCCCACGGATGTCTAAATTCCTAGGCAGACCCACAGCTGCTCCTGGACCCACAGGTTCACACAGGTATGCGGGAGAAGAATTCTTAGACAGCCACATGCAGCTACCTGTCTCTATTAACCAGCCCAAGGCAGCCACGCTCAGGGATGGAGTCCTCCCCTCCCCCTCCACGTACACACACACACACACACACACAGTTTGGAGGGCACAAGCATGTGCCTGAATGGTTTGCAAAGGCTGCACAAATCCAGTTCCCGGGTCTCTCCAGACCTTCCTCCTCCCCCTGAAGCCTGTCCTCAGATCAGGCTGCCCTGCCTGATTCTAACCCTCAGGAAGCATCCAGCTTTGTCTGGCCCCAGGTACCCCAGGACTCCAAGCTCCAGCTCAACCCAGGCCCCAGACAGAGCCCAGCAATCAAAAAATCTCCCAAGCTAACCACCAGGCCATGAGCAAGTGGAAATGAGGAATTCCAGGCTGGCTATCTCCCTCTGATCGCCCTCAAAGCTGCACAGAAAATGGACTCAACCTGACAGGAAGTGGGGCAGGCGATGGCCCAGCAGCTGTGAGGGAAGGCACCAGTGCCTGGGCTGGTCCAAGGCAAGGCTGCTCAGGAAAGCTGGTCCTGGGGAGGCTCGCCTGCCCTCCCCACCTCCTTGTGACCCAGCCTTCTTTGCTGGGGCCTTGCTATGACTACTTCTGTTCTGACCACTCCCATCCGTCCTACCTCTGCACGTTTGAACCAGACTTGACCCTCGCTTGCATTATTTGACTCTGGGGCGTGCGGTAATATGCTGGGCATCCATCACTGTCCTCACTATTCGGATACAACCCTAAAGGCCAGAAAGGTGAGTAACTTCTTCAGTGTCATAGAACTCACTGGCAGTTGATGGTTGGGGATTTGATTTTTTCAGAACATCAGACTGAGATGGGACTGAAACTCAGTGGGCAGAGTGGGCTAACAAATCCCTCGCACAGGAGACTCAGGGCTATGTGTGAAAAGAACAACAACAACAAAAAGACAGTGGAGAGAGACACCAAAATGTTAAAAAAAAAAAATAGTGGATGCCTTGGAGGTTGAAAATCTGGGTAGAAAATGTTTTAATCTTCTTTGTATTTTCAAATTTTTCTGTTACAAGCATGCTTAACATTTATAATGAAAATTCCCTAAAAGGGGGAGAGGACAAATACCCAGAATAATATCTAATGAGATGACTTTAAACATTGTCAGGAAAGATATTTGGGAGGGGGAGAGGGAAACATTCTGGATACCCTCATATGGCACCCCTCCATCTACACTTCTGTAGGAAGTGCCCCTGTTCTCTCTTGGGGAGCTCACTCCAGAGTTGGCAGATCTCCCCAACCCATGGCTATTCCAGTTCAAAGCCATCTTGCCTTGATTCCTCTCTCCCTTCCTCACCTTCCTCATTCCAGAACAACACCCTGAGTAAAAACTGTGTTGTGTAGAGGAAGGTATGACCCTCCCTTGTCCCCTGCCTGCATGAGGCTCTCCTCCAGCCCTTGATACAGCAGTATCTTTGAGCTTAGCCAAGGAAGACTGAATGCAGAGGGGTGCCCTTTAGCACCCCTCCACCCAGTCACGCTTCCCTTGCCAAGGCCAGCAGGTTTCCTGCTGTGGAGCACCACCCCTGCTGGAAGCCTTGCCTACCTTGACTGACCACTCCTGGCTCTGCTCACTCACCACTTTGGACCTCAAGACTTGATTGGCACAACTTAATTTTATGCTAGTGATTATGTTAATGCACACTGTCTCTGAGTTTGGGGGATGTTACGTACCCCTGCTATGTGTAGGTTACAGATTTCTCAAGGACCAAGACCTTGACCCCTGCTTTTTTATATGTACTGAGCTTCAGCCCACAGAAATCATTAAATATTTGAATTAATGAATAAATAAACAATGGACCGTGGATAGGCCAAACCTGACTTACTGA